TCTGGAAGACTGAAACAGGTTTCCCTCAAGAATTTCCCTGTATTTAGCGCCATCCATCATTCCTTCAATTCTGACCAGTTTCCCAGTCCCTGCTGATGAAAAACATCCCCACAGCATGATGCTGCCACCACCATGCTTCGCTGTGTGGGCATGGTGTTCTTGGGGTGATGAGAGGTGTTGGGTTTGTGCCAGACATAGCGTTTTCCTTGATGGCCAAAAGGCTCAATTTTAGTCTCATCTGACCAGAGTACCTTCTTCCATATGTTTGGGGGGTCTCCCACATGCCTTTTGGCGAACACCAAACGTGTTTGCTTATTTTTTTCTTTAAGCAATGGCTTTTTTCTGGCCACTCTTCCGTAAAGCCCAGCTCTGTGGAGTGTACAGCTTAAAGTGGTCCTATGGACAGATACTCCAATCTCCACTGTGGAGCTCTCTGATTAATGCCCTCCTTGCCTGGTCCGTGAGTTTTGGTGGGCAGCCCTCTCTTGGCAGGTTTGTTGTGGTGCCATATTCTTTCCATTTTTAAATAATGGATTTAATGGTGCTCCGTGGGATGTTCAAAGTTTCTGTTATTTTTTTTATAACCCAACCCTGATCTGTACTTCTCCACAACTTTGTCCCTGACCTGTTTGGAGAGCTCCTTGGTCTTCATGGTGCCGCTTGCTTGGTGGTGCCCCTTGCTTAGTGGTGTTGCAGACTCTGGGGCCTTTCAGAACAAGTGTATATATACTGAGATCATGTGACAGATCATGTGACACTTAGATTGCACACAGGTGGACTTTATTTAACTAATTATGTGACTTCTGAAGGTAATTGGTTGCACCATATCTTATTTAGAGGCTTCATAGCAAAGGGGGTGAATACATATGCACGCACCACTTTTCCGTTTATTTATTTTTTATACTTTTTTGAAACAAATTGTTTTTTTCATTTCACTTCCCCAATTTGGACTATTTTGTGTATGTCCATTACATGAAATCCAAATAAAAATCAATTTAAATTACAGGTTGTAATGCAGCAAAATAGGAAAAACGGCAATGGGGATGAATACTTTTGCAAGGCACTACCGTTCAAAAGTTTGGGGTCATTAGAAATGTCCTTGTTTTCGAAAGAAAAGCAACTGATGGTTGCTGATAATGGGCCTCTGTACGCCTATGTAGATATTCCATTACAAATCAGCAGTTTCCAGCTACAATAGCCATTTACAACATTAAGAATGTCTACACTGTATTTCGGATCAATTTGATGTTATTTTAATGACCAAAAAAATTGCTTTTCTTTCGAAAACAAGGACATTTCTAATGACCCCAAACTTTTGAACGGTAGTGTATGTTGGGTCAGGCATTCCCTTTGTGGCTGTCTAAGAAGGTGTAAAAACGCAGTCACCTAGCCTTTCTAAATGCACTGTTCAAAGAATGTTGCATTTCTTAAGTGCCCACAGTCACTTTTAATTGCACTGGGGCATTTAATTGGAAACCATGAGAGAACCCAGATAATGTTTTATGGTAAGCCTATTGAATTCTTATGAATTAGATTTTTATTAAACTACCATATTCAAGGAAAATTCCACCCCAAAACTATATTTTGGTATTTGTTTCATTAGTCCATTGCTGATATAGTCCCAAAATGTTTTGCATGTCAGCAATCAAGTTAAGATGTATAACTTTCAAAATACAGAAATACAGCTGTATGATGCATTTTGCATCATAGGATCCTGTGTTTTGCATCATATGATGCAAAATGCATCATACTGGCTTATATATCTTGAAAACTTCATTGCTGACATGCAAAACATTTTGGGACTATATCAGCAATGGACTAATGAAATACCAAAATATCGTTTTTGGGTGGATGTTTTCGGGCTATTATATTTTCAACTTACACCGATATAATTGTCCACACTTGTAGACTTCCTTATTGTTCGACGAATGCTTAGTTCCACACAGCACTCCAACATTGTTATTACCTATAGGATGTATGTGCCTGTGTTTATTAGCATGTTGATGTTTATCTTCAATGTATTAATCAACAAACTGTGTTCAACATTTACTACAGGTGACATAAACTCCACCTCAATTTTTATATAACATCACATATTAACCCACACCGTGAATTATAATGAACGCCATGTGAGATCACTGCCGACATAATTACTTAGAATGTCAAAAATATGTATTTAATAACTGCTCTATTAGGTAGGCTAATTAAAGGTGCAGATGACAGCGGCGTGGGAAACAGATGGCATTTGCTTACTGTGATTTTGTTGGTAAACAATGAGCAGTGAGTGGCAGTTCCTCTTGCTGGGAAACGCAGCGCTCAGAAGCGCGCGGAGCAGAGTGGGGCATGCACCTCCAGTGAAGGCGACCAGAAAAGATGGCCTATAGACCCATTTGCTCTTGATATTTGCATTTGTTTACCAGTAGTATTGTGCCATTTAAAATAGTTATTGGAGTCTACTAAATTATCAATAAATCAATCTTATTGAATTGATCCACTCGAATTAACATTTCCTCTAACCCCTTTATATTGTTTTACATTATTTAATGGATCATTATCGTTAGATATTTGCCTCATTATTTAAATGGCTTGCACACAATTTAAATGAAGTTCTGCGGTTGATGAGAATTGACCAACTGAAGCATATCGTCGAAGTTATATCCAATTTATCAACCATACCCACATCGTTTTACAATTTCATTGTAGGCATAGGTCAGCGAGGGCAGGGATCATAGGCACCATCAGGATCCCAAGTTCACCCTGGAGTGACATAGAACGACTGCAACATCATCCCCTGGTGTCCATGGCGGGCCAGCAACCTGCAAGTTAGTATCACCTGCAATCTGGTCGTCCAAAAGTACAAATTAGATATCTTGGTATGTTGTGAGACAATTTTCAACAATTCAATGTACACTTAGGCTAAAAGTTGAATAATGGTTCATATACAGGCTAAGTTGGAATTGATTTGTCATCGTTTTATATTGAATTATTGCAACCTTTTGAGTAAACGTGTAATAATCATATTATCACTGTTAATTTGTGTAAATAATGACTTATTGATTCTCACATTGGCAGTCTGTGCCTTTTGAAATGATTCAATCTAAAAAGAGGAAATAAATTAGGCTAAACCATAAAAACACTTTAGTTATGAACATCGATTATTAATAGCAAATAATACAATTGGCTTGATTGCAGGTAAATATAGGCATAGGCTATGGACTAATTCAAGCATTTTACCTATAGTCTTGTCATGGGTGACTTTTTCTTGTGCTGCATACAGGCTTTGACTACTGTTTGCACTTGACTTGAGGTATTGCCTACTGACCAAAGCCAACGTGACAAGCAGCAATTATTTCAAGATGGTTATTCTGAAAAATATTTCCAAGCAAAAGACCAATCTGTCAAGTACGAGGTTGTTGGATTTTCTCAAGACCTCAAACGCTGTTGTTACTGTAATTGCAAAACATGCGGTCTTAAAATTTCGAGCTCACACACTGTAAATTATTTGTTTAGGCTATAGCTTATCAACTCATAAAAGGTTAATCGGTTTTTGCCATTTGATTTATGCATGTTGAAGGTCTTTGGTAGCTATGTGCTTGAATTGAAATATTGTACAAAAGTTTTTTGAATGAAAGGAAAATTATGTTGGCTCACTGTTTGCTGACGGGGTAAATAATATGTAGGCTACTTTTCGACAACATGGTCTTCGATATGCCTATTGTATTCCGAAACACAACCGCACTGAAACTTTTATTACTGTCAGTGTATAATAGCCTACATAAGATAAGTAGCCTATGTATCTAAGGGTCCGGCTTGCCTCAACCGAATCGCATAATGAATGTCCATGAGTAGCATTAAAATTGTGTAATAATTGGGACTATCATTGTACAATAAAAACACGTAAATTACTATTATTATGATAAAAAGTTGTATTATTTGTATTTATCTTATAGACGTTATTTTCCAACTTGCACAACATTCTACCAGCTCTTGCACTGCATAGGCTAGTCTATTTGAATCAATATGTAAATGTCACTTACCTTGTGATATTACGGAATGAAAGGGGAGTGACGTCAGTGAGCCTTTAATTATTGTCTTTCTAAAAATAAAAAATAAAGCGTAAATGAAAGGATCAATAAAGGCATTTTATACAGGCAAAACACGTGACGATACAACATCAAGAAAAATAATCAAGCAAAGCAATATAGATAAACTTCAGAAATCGAATTATTGCCTGAAAATGTCTCTATTGAGAATTGCATTTAATTTGATCTTGGGAATCTGTTGCCATAATATTTACCCTTATAAATATTACTTGATTTGACACGTAGTCTTCTATTTGCTTTTGAATTCAAGTTTTAAAAAATTATGTATTTGAGCTCTTCAGGATCCCCTTCAGATTCTCAACACTTGTTATTTGAGAAAGAACTCAGGTGGACACAGTTGAAAAAGGGACAAGCCAATCAGATTGCACCTTCCCCCTTTGGCCAATGACAGGCGCCACATTGTTGTCAAATTTGTCTAATGAAAACGTAGGAGCAACAATAGAGAGAGAGGAGGATCTGTATCTAGTGGCAATCTCTTGAGTTAGTTAGTGTCTGACGCTGGTGCGAGTATAGCAACCTCGGCTCCTTTTTGGTGAAATTAGGTTGAACAGGGCACTTTAATTTCTGCAAGTCTCTTGGATTTCTCCTCGTACATAACACGTTTTAAAGTTCGTTTTTCAGTATAGATTGTTGCGGAGTTCATGTCTTGACAGGTTGCATACCTTATTCGCGCAAGTTGACGGCTATTTGACAACAGGTCCTTTATCTTGGTGAAGCTTTAGGTGAGGCTACATATCGTTATCTTCAATGGACAGAACACCAGTAGATTAACCTACTTTAGAAGTTGTGCAGAGATGTTGACAATTGTTCGACTAGTGTGAACGGTTCAACATCTTACTCCTCAGCATCAATACAAACATCGCTGCATCATCAAGTTACTTTTTCCAATTGATAGCAGATATTGATCAGCGACAGGACATGGATCTGAGACCAGAACTCTCCACGGCCCCGTCAGGATCCCAGGTCCTCCACCCTGGAGCCGGAGCATCTGTCAACATCCCCGTCTCCATGGCCAGTAGCCTCCTGCGGGGTCCAATGCTATATCGCGCAACGGAGAAGTATCCTCGCACTCCGAAGTGTGCTCGCTGCAGGAATCATGGCGTGGTATCTGCACTGAAGGGCCATAAACGCTATTGCCGCTGGAAGGACTGTATGTGCGCCAAATGCACCCTAATCGCAGAGAGACAGCGCGTAATGGCCGCACAAGTGGCTCTCCGTCGACAACAAGCTCAGGAGGAGAACGAAGCCCGGGAGCTGCAGCTCCTGTACGGGACAGCAGAAGGGCTAGCTCTGGCGGCCGCCAACGGCATCATACCACCTCGTCAGAATTATGAGGTGTTCGGTTCAGTCAACAACGAAAGTAACTCCGGTAAGTGGATTTATAGATTATCCTGCTCAGAGTAGCCTGCTCATAAACATGGATAGGCCTACATATTGATATTGGCACAATGTAGGTCAGGTTGTTTTGTGCGTAAATCCTGTGCGTAAGCGTGTATTTTCCGGTTTGTTTTTCCTAACTTTGAAGAGTAACGTGAAGGACCCTGATGGAGAAATAATGTTTGAGGTGACGCATATTTCAAGAGGATAAACTGGCATTTAATTACCAAACTGTGAAGTGACAGTGACCATCTTGGTAAAACTATCAAACGTAGCGTATTGGACGCCTTTGTTATTTGACTGACAGCTCATCGATTATTTTTTTATGTATCTATTTCAGATTCAAGCATGCAGAAGTATGAATTGTTTCCGAAGTCCCAAATGTCAGTATCAGTGACCCAGCAGCAGACGGTGGGCAAATCGGTTTCTACTGACAGCGAACCAGGGATCTCATCCCCAGACGGGCGTCATGGCTCGGGCTCCGAGAATGGAGACGGAGAGTCGTTCATTAGCTCTCCTGTCTCCAAGGCACTGAAAGACGGAGAGGACACCCCGGGTTCGATTAGCCCCCTAGGTTCTGACTCGGGTTCGGAGACCGACCAAGAACCTTCACCCTCCTCGGCCGCCTCCAGGCAAATGAACCCCATCGACATCCTGACCAGAGTGTTCCCCAGCCACAAGCGAAGTGTTCTGGAATTGGTTCTACAGGGCTGCGGGAAAGACGTGGTGCAGGCCATCGAGCAAATTCTCAACAACAGTGGACAAGCCAAGGCCCCGGAGCAGGCGTGGACAGCAGAACGCATGCTCCAGAGCGCACAGCCGCCCCTTTCCTCCACTCCAAGGCCCATGTTACCGGGAGCCATGACGCTGAGCAACCGCTCCGCCTTCTCCCCTCTGCAGCCAAACGCGCCACACTTTGGCGCGGATCCCAGCACCTACCCCCTGAGCACCCATCTGGGACTAAACCCCTTGCGGCTGGCCTACTCGGCCCACAGCAGAGGGCTCACCTTCATGACACCCTACTCCACCACGGGGTTGATGCCAACTCTGGGCTTCAGGCCACCAATGGACTACTCATTCAGTGACCTCATACGGGACAGGACACTCTTGCACAAAGACCAGGCGTACACCAATGGCCTGTACGGGCCCCTCGTCAACAACAACCCAGACAAACCGTTAGACTGAGAATGTGCAATGTGTCATTAACTCAGTCGTGTTGGGACTATGATTCAAGTGGACACATTCAGAGAGGGACAATGTATTTGTAGCCATAAGTGTTGAATGTTATGGAGAGATCAGTAATGTTTGCTACTCCACTGCTGTACATAATGCTTTGTTTTTAGTACGTTTACTTGCCCAAAATGGCATGAGAAACCAAGCTCACTTATATAACTTTGTTTTCGCAGAGATAGCCTATTATTCCATAGGCCATTGTTGCTATACATTTCCCGCCAATCAGTGTGTAACCTGAAAATATCTCGTCAATTAAAGTATTTTGTCTGAAACATTACTAAAGGGGTTGCAATTCCCGAAAAACGGACAGGCAAATTATTCATCACACCATAATGTATGCAGAAGCATAATAATGAAGTGCATATATGAAGCGCATACAAATTATAACTTCGATATGATTCCTGTAAATTGTGGGTTTTGTGAAATAGAAAAAAAAGTGTGTCAACCCAATTTCACTTTTTGAAATATTTGGGTTGTTGTGTTGGGTGATCCTGGTGCAATTGTTACTTTTTCAATTTTAGTTTTAAAAAAAATCTGGAGGGAAATATCCAACCTTACTTAGTAACGAATTATTGCTCACTCTTTTTTTTTTTAGCACATCCAAGCTTACTGACGTTGGACATTACAATCGAAAGCTTAATTGTAAAAACGAATGATGTATTGGCATTCCTTTTCTGACTTAGTTTTGATTTGTTTTCTCCAACAGTACATTGTATATTGCATTTGATTATATAAGATTGATTATATTATAATTGACTTTACCTGTGTACTTTATCCAGCATTTATCAGCTACACTACAACACTTCTCTATTCTGTGAAATTGCATTTGTTTGCAAGTCTATTGCTCTTCTGTCACAAGCCGTAGTGTCACGTGAAATTACTGGAAATAAATGTTATTTTATACAAAATGATTGCCAATTATTTCTAGACACCACACACTTCCGAAGCAATTTATTGATATTTTTATTATTATTAATCCTCCTATAAGGCTATTATTTGCAGTAATGATCATATAGTGCTTATACAAATATTATGTAGCCTTTCCTAACTTTTATCTTTCAGAAACTTGTCATGTCTCATCAGGGTCCTCATGCACCCCAAAAACCTGATCGGACACAGTATGTGAGGATGGCCTGGTGGTGGTCCGGAGGGGGTATTTTTCAAACACCTGAAACAGCTTTTTCCTGCAATCTACAGCCATAATCTTTATGCTTAATTCTATATAAAGATATGTATTTTTCTGCATATCTAAGCATACATCTTGAGCTGTATGTATACTCCTGGGGTTCTTTTTTTTTTTTTTAAGAAACGAAATATGCATCTCTGCTCAAATCTGGGTAAATAAATTAGTCTTATTCAGTACATTTAGTTATTGCTTGCTTTTCTGAAGTCTATCAACCTTGCCAGCAGGCATGCCAGCTAAGATAGTTTGACAAGCTAGCTACTCTAACTTGATTGATAGACTGTTAGCTAGTTGATAGCTAGTTATGAAGTTGGGAGATTGGGAACCTATCTGGGCTAGCTAAAGCCAACTTCATAAAATTGCTAGGTGGCTAGTAGTATTACAGACGAACAACATTTTTTATTACATATCTTTTTTTTTTACAGGACAAATCCGGAGGGGGCATGTGCCCGTGTGCCCCCTATGGGCATGACGCCTCTCTGTCTCATGACAATATTTTAATTCATTTAGTATGCATTTTTTGTAACTTCTAATAATCATATAACATTTCCAGCTATAGGCCTAGTCCCAAAAATGTTGAGAGGGAAAACAGAAACACACTGGGGAAGTGGCAAAGCCCACATTCATTTCGGAATTCAAAGTGCCCTAGAAACCTCATCTCTCTTGCTCGGCTGAATTGAAGTGTTTACGCTCACCCGCCAAATATAACAATGTAAACAAAGTAATTGACAGTGTGCCTTCATAATGACAAACGGAAAACGAAACCCAACACTTATTGAGAGGCCCCTTATTACACCTTTCATAAAGTGTATTTGTTGTAATAACTTCAAAGCCTTACATAAAATGACCTGCCACAAGGAATGATAATAAATATGTTTTTCGATTATCGGATTGAGCAATCCTTGTAGTATCTGGACATCTAAACCCTGCAGTATGATTGTGTCTTTGATACTATGATTTCCCTTTGGACCAAGTAATTGTCAGTCAGCAGCATACATCACAAGTTCTTAGTAAGGTGATATTCGATATGAATGGGATAGAGACCATTTGTTACTTTAATTGAACTGGAAATACATTTTCTCTGTTATTCGATGAATATCTTTAAATTATTATTTGTAAATGTATATGCATAAAATAATACATGTTCAGTAGGCCTATTCCTTATTTTTTGACTATTTGTTTTTGATTGTTTTTCCACATCACCCACAAACAACACAACACAAAACAAAACGCCCACTATACAACACATTCCCCACGGTGATCAACATATGGTTTCCAAATTTTGTCAAACACTTCCTGTTTTTGTTTAACTTTATAATATACAAAATCCAACGGTATGTAGCTAGATAGTTCAGTCCTCCAGTTTGTTATTGAGGGTGAATATGAGGCTTTCCAACTGATGGCTATACTTTTTTTTTTCCAGCAGCAATTAGACCTAGATTACAAAACTTTGATATTGATCACCAATATTTACATTTCCCAACAGACATAATCGTGGGTATGGATGGATATAAATTCCTAGACCCAATGAAATGATAGCGCATACATTATCCCAAAATGGTGTCAGTTTATCACAGGACCACAGCATATGTAATAGGGTTCCTTTGTTCTTTTTGCATCTCCAACAGAGATGTGATATTTCTGTGCGCATTACATGCATTCTGGCAGGAGTGCAACTTGGTCAGAGCATTTTGGGTTATTCTGTATGTAAATCCGAGACACTCCATTTATAATGATATATGTTACATTTCGTATGGTATTTATTCATTTGTGGGTGTCCATCACCCATTTCGTATGATATGTTACAAAATACAATTCGTATTATATGTTACCAATTTGCAAAACGTACAATATGTTACGAATTTGCAAAACTTATGATATGTTTGCGAATTCTAGCTAACGTTAGCTAGACTAGGGGTTAGGGTTAAGTTTAGGAGTTAGGTTAAGGTTAGGGGAATGGTTAGCTAAAAGGGTTAGGGGAAGGGTTAGCTAACATGCTAAGTAGTTGCAAGGTAGCTAAAAAGTAGTAAGTATTTGAAATGTTGCTAATTAGCTAAAATGCTAAAGTTGTCCATGATGAGATTTGAACTCGCAACCTTTGGGTTGCTATATGTTTGCGTTATATGGCCACACAACCACCCTTCTTTCGTTTTGCCTAAACTAACCATCTGTCTTATGTAACCATACCAAACGTAACACAGCATACTAAATGGAGTGTCTCTGATTTACGTACAGAGTCAAATGAAATGCTCTGAGACCAGGTTGAGGAGTGTAGTAAGTCATATGAATCATCTTAAATTGCAGTAGTTTATGTCTTAGGTTTTAGGAGCAAGTATGAACATTTTCACATATCTGTGACCAATGGTTCTCCTCAATTTCTTCCTTATAGGTTCTGAACCATCGGGGAGCTTCAATCAACCCTTGATATAACTTCGCAATCAACTTTGGCGTATCAGCTTCTTTCAGTACTTTTTCTATGCAAGATGCCTTAGATTCATCCAGATTCTGTTGAAGCGATTGAATAAGATTTCTGAGTTGTACAAAATAACTTAAAGAAATCGGCCTTGGATAATCCAAATCTTTCTTGTAATCGATTGAAGGACAGTAGAGAGCCATCACAGTACACATGTTCAAAGTTAATGATGATAGTTTGGAACCAGGACTTAAAGGTGTTGTCATTAAAATGACTAAAAATTTAATTAAACACTGGAGGTAAGGTGGGGTTATTCCAAATAGGGGAGCCTGGTGATATTGGTACTTTCCACCTCATTAAATTATGCACATTTTCCCAAATATGAATGGAATTTGAGAATAATTGGATTGACTTTTTTTCTTCAAAAGCCTTGGACCCGAAGTAATGAATATATTTTAGATCATAAGGGATTACATTTATGGCTTCGATACTCCTCCATGCACATGGATAGTCTGCTGTCCATTGTTTAAGTGAACGCAATTGTGCAGTCCAGTAATACATCTTCATATTAGGTAGTCCAAGACCTCTAGCTTTATAGGAAAAGTGTAAAACTGTCAATTTGACTTGAGGTCTTTCCATTCCAAATAAAGTTGGAGAGCAGGCAATTTACTTTATTTAAAAAGATGGAATTGAAACTGGCAGGGCTTGGAATAAATACATAAACCTTTGTAATATACTGAACAAAAATATAAATGCAGCATGCAACAATTTCATATGAAGAAATCAGTAAATTGAAATAAATAAATTAGGCCCTAATCTATGGATTTCACATGACTGGGAATACAGATATGCATATGTTGGTCACAGATACCTTTAAAAAAATGGGCCTCACAATGGGCCTCAGGATCTCCTCACAGTATTTTCGTCCATTAAAATTGCCATAGATAAAATGCAATTGTGTTTGTTGTCCGTAGATTATGCCTGCCCATACCATAACCCCACTGGCACCATGGGGCACTTTGTTCACAATGTTGACATCAGCAAACCACTCACCCACACGACGCCATACACGTGGTCTTCGGTTGTGAGGCTGGTTGGATATACTGCCAAATTCTCTAAAACAACGTTGGAGGCGGCTTATGGTAGAGAAATGAACATTCAATCCTCTGGCAACAGCTCTGGTGGACATTCCTGCAGTCAGCACACCAATTGCACACTCCCTCAAAACATGAGACATCTATGGCATTGTGTTTTGTGACAAAACTGCACATTTTAGAGTGGCCTTTCATTGTCTCCAGTACAAGGTGCACCTGTGTAATGATCATGCTGTTTAATCAGCTTCTTGATATGCCACAC